CCCCCCCAATCCAGGAAGCACTGATTTTCCGAACTGAGAAAAAAAAAAGGGATGCGGGAAGGAGGGGCCATTGAGAGGGATGCATTTTCCTTGTTTTCTTTCGGGGCTGGACTCGTCCAGCAGCGCTCACCAAATGGAAAAAGGCAGTCAGAGCATGCCTTGTGCACCGGGCTGGGTGCCAGCTGCTGGGCTGGCCACAGCTGGGGCAAACTGGGGGAGTTTCCCACTGGTCCGGAGGGAGTGAAGAGGTCCAAGGCACCCGCAGCCCGTGCAGGAGCACCCGGGATGCTGGGGGTTTGGAGGACCCATCCCTTGGGTGCTGTGGTCTGGCAGTGGCTGGCACCAGCACAGCGGCTCCAACGGGTGCGGTGTCAGGTGGGATTTTGGCGCCTGTAGGAAGCAGATCCCGACGTGCATGGGTGGGAGGGGGCGAGGGGCCAGGCACTGCCGAGGGCTGAGCCCCTCTGTGGCACCACCGGCTCTGGTATGTTCTGGACACCCCCAGGTGGGAGAATTGCAGCTGGTGGGATTTATGGGGGTCTGTCGGGACAAGGGGGGGATCCTGCTGTGTGGGGAGGGGTTCCCTGTCCCTGGCAGGCATGTGCCTCTGCCACAGCTCTTCTGCTGGGATGCAGTCCAGAAGGGGTGTCCCCAGCAGGCTCCCCAGCCGTTACGGGTTGGATGTGGAAGGGAGGTTTGGCCGGGAGTGACCTCATGTCCCTCCGCTTCCACAGGATGAGTTCCACCCCTTCATCGAGGCGCTGCTCCCCCATGTCCGGGCCTTTGCCTACACCTGGTTCAACCTGCAGGCCCGCAAGCGCAAGTACTTCAAGAAGCACGAGAAGAGGATGACGAAGGATGAGGAGAGGGCAGTGAAGGATGAGCTGCTGAGCGAGAAGCCAGAGGTGAAGCAGAAATGGGCCTCGCGCCTCCTGGCCAAGCTGCGCAAGGACATCCGGCCTGAGTGCCGCGAGGACTTCGTGCTCTCCATCACGGGCAAGAAGCCCTCGTGCTGTGTCCTCTCCAACCCTGACCAGAAGGGCAAGATGCGCCGCATCGACTGCCTGCGGCAGGCGGACAAGGTGTGGCGGCTGGACCTTGTCATGGTCATCCTCTTCAAAGGGATCCCGCTGGAGAGCACCGACGGCGAGCGCCTGGTCAAGTCCGGCCAGTGCACCAACCCCATCCTCTGCGTCCAGCCCCACCACATCAGTGTCTCCGTCAAGGAGCTCGACCTCTACCTGGCTTATTTCGTCCGCGAGAGAGGTGGGTGCTCGGCCGCCTGTGGGGCAGAGCCAGGGTGGGTCCCCACCAGAGCTGGGAGGGGTGTGTGTTCCAGCTTTCCCATCACCCCCAGTGTCTGTCCCATCCCTGGCTCCAGCTTAGGGACACTGCCTGGGGACACATTTCCCATTGCAGTCCTTGCAAAGAGGAGACCAGTGCTCCCCTCACTCCAAACTGCTGCCCAAGTGGGTGCCCCCACCCTGCCCATGCAGCCCCTTTCCCCCAGCCGGGACAGATCCGGGCTGCCCTGGGAGGCGTGTGCCAGGGAGGAGAGGAGGTGCGTGGTCCCTGAGGATGCTCCTGGCTCTGGGCATCCCCAGAGGGGGGTTTGGGGGGGGGTTAGCCCCACATCCCATGCCTGCCTGACGTGACTGTGCCGGCAGCCCAGCAAGGAGCGGGTGGGTGGCGTGGGCAGGAAAGGGACAGCCTGTTCCCGAGGGCTGGAGCTGGGAGCGGTCCAGCAGTGCCAGTTTGTCGTGGGCTGCGGTCCCAGCCCCTCACAGGGACGGGAGCAGCCAAGGCTGGATGGGGAGGGGGCAGCAATAACGCCAGTGGGGGCAAACCCCAGCAGCTCCCGGGAGGATGCAGCTCCCCTGCCCCTCACCTGCCCGGGGGTCCTGCAGACCCGGTGGGACAACTGGGCTGGTTTCACTGCAGCAAGGAGGGAGGGTCAGACCTGCCCCTGAAGCCTTGATGATCAAAAGGGGGAAACTGAGGCACAGCGGGCAGGGCAGATGGCGTTTTCCAGGCTCAGAGGATTAGGTCCCTAAGCCGTCGGCTCCACCGCTGGCTCACACCACCTCCCCTGTGTGTCGGGAGAGGAAGCTCGTAGTACCTTGGGTCAGATCTTATTTTATCCAGGCAGGTTTGCTGTCCCTGACTGCTGACATGCTGGCAGCTGGGGTCCCCCACAGACCCCGACATCCCCCGGCACCCCCAGGTGGGTGAGGAGCCTGGGGAGATGCTGTGCGATCCCCGAGGGCGAGGGTGAGGCTTGGTTTCACAGGGATGATGCAGAGCCAGGGGGTCTGTAACACGCAGCCCCAAGGGGTGGTCAAGGGGCTTGTGGCCCCGCCATGACCAGGCCACCACTGCCCAGTGTGTGGGGACCAGGACATCGGTCCCTTCCTGGCAGCAACCCCCTGCCCATGCCCATGGTGATACCCTCCAGCCCCGTGAGTCCGTCCCCATCGACACCACAGCGGGGGGAGGTGGGGCTGGTGGCTCCTTGCCCAGCACTGGCCAAGGCCCAGGGACAGATAGTGACAGCACAGAGGGCACCGCGGTGCCGGCAATCCCAACAAAGCAGGTGCCAGCACCGTGAATCACAGTGAGCATGGGCAGCCAGAGACTGCTCTGCCCCCACCCAGCCAGCGGTGGGACACGCTGGGTGACACTGGGGAAGCTGAGGCATGGCGATGTGACCCCCCCCTTGCTCCCCAAGGAGTTGCCTGTCCCGGGCCGGGCGCTGGAGGGGCACTGCCAGGCCCTCCTGGCTTTGGGGAAAAGCAGGGCACAACCTCGTGGGGCCAGATCCTGCCCCAGGGCCCAGGTGGGACCCCAGGCAGGTGGGGTTGCGGGCGATCACCGGGGGGGTGCGGGTGGGGGTGTGCAGTCACACACGCATGTCCAGCCAGGACCTGCCTGCCCGGCCGCACCCCCAGTGTGTGCGCATGCGTGGTGCCCCCATGCCCGTGCGCGTGGCTCGCCAGCTCCCAGGCAGAATGGGGCCCGTTTCCCAGTGGCGCACTGGGAATGGGAACAGTGGGCGCTGTGCTGGGGACAGGGGTGTCCCAGGCACTGGCTGGTGTGGGGACGTGGGTGCCCTGTGCAGAATGGGGCAGCGGCGCTGGGCAGGGTTAGAGGGGTGTCGTGTACTGGGCTGAGACATGGCCATGCTGGACTGAACTGGGATGGGGTACTGGGCTTAACTGGGGTGCTGCATGCCGTGCTGGATGTACCCTGTACTGGGCTGGGGGCACCCTGCGCTGGCTTGGGTGTAGGCTGGGCTGTGTGGTACGCTGGACTGGGGGGTACCCTGTACTGGGCTGGACTGGGAGCACCCCTGTGCTGGACTGGGAGCCCTGTGACAACAGCAGAGACCAGGACCCCCACGGCAGCTGTGGTGGGTCCCTGTGCTGGCAGGTTCCATGGCCACACCGCAGCCGGCAGGTGTCCCCAGGGAGGTGACTGCCCCTCTGCCACCACCCCCCGCCCCCACCGGCGACCTTGACCCCAGCGTCTGGGTCCCCAGCAGCCGCAGTCACCTGACTGTCTAATTGGGAACACAGTGGCTGTAAATACTCTCTGATAAGGCCTGGCAGCCTCTCACTTTCCCTGTTAAGGTCGCTCTGTGCCCTGGTTAAGGGGGACTGGGACGCAGCAGTGGCACCAGCTGTGCTGGGGGTGGGACCCCCGGGTGCTGCAGGACGCTGGGTGCCGTGGTAGGGTGGGTGCTCCGCATTGCCCCGGCCCACAGCGGGCACTTTCTGTGGGGCTGTGGCTAGAGAGGGGTTACCTGGGTGCCGTGTTGGTGGGGAAACCGCCACCTCACCAGTGGCACCGTGCGCCGGGTGGTGGCACCGCTGGGGTGTGCTGGGAGTCCCCAGGGCCTCCTCCCTGCCCAGCACGCTGCCTGCTCCCTCCTGCCTGCTCCCTCCTGCCTCTCCCTCCCGCTCCCTCTGCCCACTTTCCCCCCTCGCACATCTCACCCTGCAGCCAAGCCCCCACCCCCAGTATCCCCAGCCCTTTGTTGCTGGGGAGTGAGCAGGAGGAGGCTGGGGGGAATCTTGCCTGAGTGGAGCCCCCCCGGCTGGGCAGCTCCAGCTCCCCGCAGCCCCCGCGGCCCCCCGTTATCAGGCTGGAGCACGTGGGCTCTCGGCTCCCCCGCCTACACTCAGCCCGTTTTGCTGGTGTCAGCACAATTTCCCAGCCACTGCTCTGGCAACGCCGGGGAGGGGAGATGGTGGAGGAGCCCCCCCGGCCCTGCTCTCCCTATGCGGGGTTGGGGGCAGCCTTTGGGGGGGCTGGTGCCCAGCCTCCACCCCAGACTGATGCCAAGGGCCAGCTCTGCCTTTTGGCTCTTTCTTGCCCCCCCAGCCCTCTGCCTGGAAGACCAACATGGTTTCCATGGCCCTGGGTGCACATGGGGAAGCTGAGGCACGAGCGATGCTGGGCTGCGGGGGAGTCCACATCCCAGCCCCGCTGGCCCCAGCGGGGCTGTCAGGGGGTGCAGGGGGGTGCCGGCTGCCCGGATCCACTCCCCAGCACGCACCAGCGCATCTCCAGCCCCGGGCGCACGGGTACCCCCGTGGACAGGGACAACTGCCGGCAGGGTGCAGGCTGGGCGCAGGCTGGGCGCAGGCTGGGCGCAGGCTGGGTGCAGGCTGGGTGCTGGATGTG